ACATTCCCAATCATAGTTATTAATGTTGTGCACTGCTGTTTGGGCTGCGTGTGCTGAGCTAAAGATGATCACTGGTAAACTGAAGCGCTCTTTTAACTTTACCAAACGCATTCTATATGAGATACATCAGATATACATCAAATAAACACAATATTACAATGTACAATTGCACAAAAGGCTGCAAACGAACAGCGCGCATCTGAAGTGTCTCTGAAGGAAATAATGCATTATTTATCGGCTTTAAGATATCGGCCAAATTTTCTTATCAGGCCGATACCGATAACAGAAAAAATGAGCCGATATGGGCCGATACCGATATGGTGGCCGATATATCGTGCATCCCTATTTTATAGAGTTACTTCCTTGCGTTGACAATTTAAATGCGCTGCATTATTTTGCTCATTGCGCCCTCCTGTGGCCTCAGGAGACAATTAGATCTATACAATAAAGACTGATTTAAACTGCATATAAAACATTAGAAATTAGATATTGGTTTAATTTTTATGGTGTTTGATTGGTGCTTGTTGAGTGAATATCTAACAGACTTCACTGGAAAGTGTAGTTCGGACAGATATTTCAAAAGCAAGCAAGTAAAATGCACAAGTTACTAAAGTTATTTGACGGTAAGGAGAGAGAGCGAGAGAGAGAGTGTCCGAGAGGGCGCAATTCTGTTGCATAATCTTGATTGCTGTTCGCTCCATTAGCGCATGCATTTGGATTAAAACTAAATCATAAATATAAAACAAACAAAAATTATAGGGGCATTTACTATAAACGTCAAGCATACAAGACTTTATTTAAAGCAAAAGTGAAACTAGCAGACTGTGTGAAATGCACTAGGCTAGAAGTGTTGCTCTCATTCTGCACCAACACAAACTAGGGTTGGGCCGACACCGACGATGCCATCTTCCATCGCCGATGGCTGACAGACATCACGATGTTAAGCTGACATGTTTGGTAGACATCGCTCAACCCTAATACAAACCGTGTATGCTGCGCATGTTTAGCTTGCTTTAAAAGCCAAAGTATATTTTGGTTTTTACTCATACGCGAGGGTCAATGTACAGTATGTGTGACGCAAATTACATCACCAAAATAGTATACTATGCGCATACTCGTATAATGTATAAAGAGTGGTTCCCTGCATTATTTTAGGAAAATGTTTTGTGATTACAGTATTGAGCTGCTGCAATGGAGCAGCTCTAATGCGCCATTAAAATGAACACTGAAATGAACAAAAGCTTATACAATATATTTTAACAGGTATAATTAAGTGTGGAAATAACTGAAGGAAATATCTGTTTGCTAAATGAAGCCAACTAACATGATTCATATTATTATTATTTTGTTTCTGTACACAATATTTAAAAAAAAAAAAAAATTACAAATGCTGTGAAAATACAGGTATCGGTATCAGTGAGTACCAAAAATGAAAGTATCGGTATCGGACTCATTCTGAAAAAAGTGGTCTCCGTGCATCCCTAGATATTTTCATGGAAAATATTTCAAAAAAATATTTCACAGTATCACTGCTTTTACTGTATGATCAAACAAATGCAGCCTTGGTGAACATAAGAGACGTATTTCAAAAACAAACAAACAAAAAAAAAAGTTACCAACCCAAACCTTTTAATGGTAGTTTACATAAACATCCCTTAAATCCCTAGTGTATGAGCAACTGTAAAAAAAATATTACTTGCCACTATCACACTCTACTAATCTAGCAAATCAAAGTACATTTCTTAGATTAGACTCAGCTTGGCCAGATGCCATCTGCACGCCACTCTTTTTTTACAACAGTGACGGCTCAGGCACTGAACTATGAAGTATCATAGAAGCCTGCAAACAAAAGTTGCCAGTGTCTCTGTGCGGCCTTTTGTTTGATGCCTTCCAGAATTCAAAAGCTACGGCAGAAATCAGGCTTGTTTCACTGTGGTGAATCGGAGTTCTGAGGGGGAAAACATGGGAAGTCTGAAGGGGGGAGGGGGAAGTTGTTTCAGAGCTTTTGGCAGAGGACGGGGGTTCCTGTGGGGGATGAGAAGGGGCCGCGGTGTCAACAAGGCACAGACTGCGAAAGAATCTGAGCAAACTTTCGCACAAAGGAGCCCCTCAGTGCCCGGGGGCAAGAGAGCCGTTTCACTGGAGAGGTAGTCAAATCGAACCATAAAACGGTTTGGTCGCGAGCCATTAGATCAGCTAGCACTTAAACAAAATGCTCTTTCTATAGCAGCCCCCCACTGTCCTATACAGTCTCCAGTAGACTTGCATGTATGACACAAAAAGAAAAATGTATACAAAGAATTTAAGCAATGCCTCTTCAAATTCCTTAGAACGGAGCTGACCATCAATGAAAAATGTTTGTTTTCGTTTCTCGCAGTAATGAAACGGCCGAACAGTGAGAGCTCTGTTTCAAGAGGGCCAACATTTAGTGTGATGGAGTCAATGATACAACTAGGGCTGGGCGATATCGCAAAAAAAAATTATCAACGAAATAATGTTTCATATCGTTCGGTATCGATAATTATTGACTTTTTTTTATAACCTTTTTTAAAACAAAGAGCAATAGAATTTTTTTTAAAATTTAACCACTATTTTTAAATTAACCCAATTTATTGAGACAAACAACAAATATTGTTTGTTTTAACAATCAAACACAAAATAAAAATGAAACAAATATCTAATTTCTAATGTTTTATATGCAGATTAAAAAGGTTAAGGAAACCTTTGTCTTGTTTCCAGAGGCCACAGGAGGGCGCAATGAGCAAAATAATGCAGCACATTCAAGGCTCGAAATTGCGATGATTTTGGTAACAGCGTTCGCCACCGAATCTACACATTTCGTAATTGTTGTTTTAGGATGTGCGGTTTGACATTATCGACTATATTGCAAAATCCAAACAAAACACACCTACAGAGAGTGCACGCATACATGACTGGAAGTCTATTAGGTTAGATTAGTGCGCGTGCGCATTTAGAGTGCGTTCTTTCACGGCATGATTCAGTCTAATAAAATGCATCACAAAATTCAAGATATGGGGCCTTTACATCATTTCATATCGTTCAGGGGTTGGCTGTGCCTGATATAGTTAATCAATATCACAGGAAGAGTGCGGTTTCCTTCAAAAATCAGCATGATTACAAACGTGATATTGATTTTATACAACTCTTCAATAAAAAAAAAAATCGGTGCAACTGGCAGAGCTGAATGTAAAATTTAACACCGCATACACCAGGGGTGTCCAAACTCGGTCCTGGAGGGCCACTGTCCTGCAGAGTTTAGCTCCAACTTGCCTCAACACACCTGGCTGCCAGTTTCTAGTATGCCTAAGACCTTGATTAGCTGGTGCAGGTGTGTTTAATTGGGGTTGGAGCTAAACTCTACAGGACAGTGGCCTCCAGGACCGAGTTTGGACACCCTTGGCATACACCATCCTAACCCTCTCTAAAGAAGAGCTT